CCCCCCCGGGAGCAGCCACTGCTTCATAGGCGACATGTAGCAGGAGGTACTGGGGGGGCATGTGCTCCTCCTGAGAGCGCTGGTGCCCCACTGACACCAAGCGCTCCTGCTTCTAGGGGGGCATGGAGAGCGTTTGTGCCCCCTCTGAAATCGGCCAGTGGGACGTCAGTGGCAGAAGTGCTGGCGGTGGAAGTCCTGGCACTTCCACCACTGCTGTGCCGCATGCAGAAGTGTTTAGGCTCAGTGATCGGCTGCTATACAGGACCCCTCCCCAGTCAGCGATCATCCACTGGGGGACCCCCCCCCCCAGGCTTGGGAGGCACCAGTCACCCATGCATTGCTTCTCCTTGTTTCTTCTCCAACCTGGGCATTGGGTACTGCCTGGCTTGGGAAGGGCTGGGGGCTTGACCTCACTGCTCCTTCCTCTTCCAGACTGGTCCAGGACGGATGAGAGCAGCTCCTTCTGGTCCTTGTTCCTTCCCCAAGCCAGGTACTAGACGTCTTGGAGAGAGGCTGGTGGCTCTGCCCCAGTGCCCCCTCTGTTCCACTCTCAAAGACAGGGAGCAGAGTGGAGGAGATTGCTCCCTGCTCATTCCCTGAACCCAAGTCTGGGGAATGTGGGGGGAGTCCTTCCCCACTACTTCTCTCCCACCAGAGACTGGGAGGAGTGGAGCAGGCACTGCTTCCTATGCCTTCCCTACATCAGGATCACCTAGTCTTGTGACGGTAGAGAGAGCAAGAGAAGGGTCCCTACAAGCTGAATGTCTGTAAGCTCCCTCACCCAGAATGATTTCTACTGGTGGAAAATTCTCAGAAACTTCCACTGGTAGAAATGAACTGTTCATGACCACAATCTAGCTTTTAAGAATGACACCTCTTGCCATGATGTTTTCTCAGCATTTAGCACCCATACAAGGTGCCTAGCCTTCCTGGGAGAGAGTCTCAGGGGGCTCTGTAGTATTTTCACATGAATAGCTAGACGAGAGACAGAGAACAGATTTCAGAAGTCATTTTTCCAAAAAGCATTAGCTGCCAAGCTCTCTAGTTTTGCACTTTATTTGGTATTCATGAGAGTCTATGGCTACGACACTTTTAGAAAAAAAAAAAAATTAGAAATATCCTAACGATCCTTATTCAGTTCTCATATCTTGCTTGGATTGAAGTTCCAGGAAGGTGCTGGTATCTTAATATAATCCAATGTTAATATAGGTTAAATTTATGAAGGCAAAGACATTATTAATGATGTTTATTAGCAGAACCAGTCCACATATGAGAAATAACTCTGCTTAATAATGAGCAAGTGCATAGACTGTTATACTACAATATGGAGACTTCAAACAGAAGAAAAGGTTATCTTCAGGCTTCCTGGTTTCAGTTTCAAGTATTTTGAAGAGAATGTGGACAGATCATACTTTGACATCACCTCAATTCCTGAAGTCCAAACAGTGACAAATTGTCTTCCCTTTTCTCCATCCAAGACCACTCTTACAGTTTTTAATTTCAGGGCTGGTTTAACAAGGTCCCACTCCAGGGGTGACTGTGATGCCCATGGAACCCCCTCAGCCCTTATCAACTATGCTTTCCTTGGTCAATCTGCCCCTCCCCTCACCTGCCATGCCTTGATGTTATTATGATTTTCAGCAAGGGAGGCTGCCTTGGGGCTTCCAAAGCCTGGTCTCACACTCCTGAACACGGGTATCTGTCCTTATCACCCTAAAGGCTAAGTATGTGGGCTCTGTCCTCCACAGTACTTATGCCCATGTCTCACAGATGTCACACATGCCAGTCAAATCATAACTACCCCAAAGACTACAGGCTTCTGGCTCTATTAATTCTTGCACCACTCTCTGGGCTATGGGCACTCTGCCTCCCTCAGTCTCCTCCTGGCCTTTGTTTCTTCTCCTTAGACGTTGGCCCCACTCCTAGGCCAGTTGAGACCCATGAGCTCTCCTTCCCTGCAAGTTTCTAGCTGTGGCTCTTCTTGGCGTTTGGCTCTTCCTGTACCTTGGTCCTGCTTCTAAGCCAGTGAAACCTATGGGCACCCAGGCCCTCCCTGCACCCCCAGACCATCTCTTTTCCTTCTGAGTCCTGTAGCCCCTGCTCCATCTCTGGGCCAGCTGGGACCCAGAGCTGGGACCATCCTGGCCCTAAGGCTGCATACTGGCTGTTCTGCCTCCCTGAAGCTGAACTTCTAGCTCTAAGGCTGCATATGCACAGACATACTTGGTGTGAGCCAAGATCACTCTCCCAGCAACGTGCTCAGGAGCTTCTTCTCTTTCAGCTACCAGGATGAAGACAGACTTCTTACCTCAGGCCCTGGA